AGCAGTCCAGGCGGCCAGGATGCACCGAGGGCAGCGGCGATGAGCGCAGCAGAAGGACGATCCGGAACCAGTACCGGGAGCTCATCTACAGCGTGCAGCGTAAGCCCGGGGTGCGGCTCCCTTCAAGGAGCGGTTTCCCCCCTCAGGAGCGGCCCTGCCCGCCGGTCTGTGCCCGGTGCCGGGGCGGACGCGCCTTTCCTCCTGCCGGGGATGCCTCCTTGTGCCGGGGAAGTGGGGGCTGCGGTGCTGTGGTGTAGCCTGTCCTTGTTGTTTGAGGAGCTCTTAAAGCTTTCGTGGGAACTCCCAAGGGCCTTGGCCTGCTGAAATTTTGGGCCGGTGGTTAGCTCGAAATTTGTCTGCCTGGAAGCAGTGGCATGCCCAAGGATAGGAAGTTCATGAGGAGTTAACCTGCATGTAATGTGTATGACTGTGTTGATGCAAAGAAACTCTCAGTCTTAGACCTGGAGCTTTAGTTTGAAACTGAAGGTCCCAGTGTCTGCCTGCACCAGAAAGTTATCCTTAAGCTTTCCTAAAAGTTATTCTTAAGCTTTCCCAAAAGCGCTATGGGATTTGTAGCACCTTTCTTGATGTGTGTGTCAGTACTTCTCCTATGTTTGTTTGGAGTCTGTCGTTTTTCTCATGAAAGCATAACATTGTGGGGTTTTTTTTGTTAGTAAACACTGCCAAATTTAGGAACTTGTGGTGGTGTTTGTTTTCTGTGTACTTGCCAAATTTGTAGGGTGGTTTGACAAGAGAATACAACGCAGTTTATGGATGATCCGGCCTGTGTTCATGCAGGAAAACAACAGTTGTGTGTCAGTGCATTGAGTATGGTGTATGTTGAGAAGCTGTTCAGAATTGAGTACCTGAAAGCCTTGTTAAATTGCTTGTGTGCTGTTACATACATGTAAGTAACTGTAGCTGACATGGTGATCTGCAAAGATCACCCCCCCCAAGCATGGATTTTTGGGGGCTTATTTGTTTCTTTCACAAAAACCCTCAATAACTTACGAGTAAGACAAATAACATAAAGCAAAGTATGGTAGCTGGTAGCTGTCTTGACACAGATAGAGATATTTAACTGGAGCCAAAAGAAATCTGGGATCTGCTAACATAAATTTCAACCATATAAATCTTACTCCGTTGAAGTGAATGGAAAATTACTACTTCCAACTGTGTTAATGCATAAGCATTAATAAAAATGGAGCCTTAATAATCTTGTTATTAATGTGCTATAACTGTATTCTGTATTTTTCTGTGTATGATGGGCTGTGAACCAGCCAATTTTGATGTAAGCTGTAAGTATGTGTTTCTCAGTGCTTCTATAGTTAAGTAATTTAGGATTTCATTTGTCCTTTCCCCCAGAAAATCGTGAGGATATGCTGAGTTCAAAAAGCAACACATTGACAAAAGCCTTGGAAGAAGCCAATAAACTATTTAGTGGAGGTAAGAGAAATTCTGTGGTCCTTGCTGGAGGTGTTTGCTTGACTGTTGGCCAAGTTTGAGGCAATGATGGCTTATAAACAAAAAAGGGCAAGAGAATGAAGTTGAGTTCCAAGTACTTTATGGGAATTATTAAGGTATAACTTGAAATAGATATGTTTAGATGAAGAGGAATTGTTTGAATAAGTTGACATGGGGAAACAAATATCATTACGTCAGTGTTTATTTGCACTTAGAAATACTCCTTGCTTTGTCTTGACTCTGTAGGACAATGTATGTAAATAGTACATATAGAAGATATCAGTGTAGAGGAGTTCATTTCACTTGGAGAGATGAAAAGATGTCAATGAAAAAGGCATTTTATTCTTTAAGATAATGTGTTATATTTTCATGTTTACCTTTGTCAGTGTCATCCTCTCCTTTTATCGCTCTTTTCTTTTTTAAATGCAAATATTTGCAAGAATTGTGTGTGTTAGAGGTCGTTGCAAGAAAACGATTTATCCTCTATACCCAGGATAGTCTGTATGCTAAACTTTATTATTGTATTTTTGACAATTTGCCATTATTAACGTAAAATCTTTTCTGCAACAGTTTCGTGTGCACGTGAGGCTGCGCTGGATGCCCAGTTTCTTGTCTTAGCATCAAATCTAGGAAAGGAAAAGGCCAATGAGTTGCACTCTGAGATGACAGCATTTGATTCCCTGGCATTTGCAGAAGACTTGGTAAGTTTCAGACTCTGAGGTTACCAACAATTTTGCCAGAAGTTTGTCTGATTTGTTACAGAATCATGAAAAAAAGCCTTGGGTTGTCAGGCAGTACGTGACAGTTCAGATGGAATTGAACACTCTTCCTATGAATTTCTTTGACTAACTTTCTGGTTAGTTTGTTAATTGTTTTAAACTATGTTTTAAGCATTTCCAGTATGCACAGGGGAAAAACCAAACTTAAAATGCAGACATCCCCTCACATTGTTGCATTGCTGCTACTTCATCACAGTTCAGTCAGTTCGTGCTCTTAAAGTAGTCTTATGCACTTCTTTTATACTTACCACTTTGTAGTTTCCCAGTAGTTGAGTAGTTTCTTTATCCCGTCCACTGCTTTATGTGGTTTTGGCTGGAGTTCTCAAGGTCCTGTGTCGCTGACATGAAATGGGACTTTGAATTACCTGTGTGTTTTTAGACTTGACGTGTTTGTGTCTTTGTACTGTGACTGGGTGGAAGAGTTGGTTCAGAGCAGCTTTGAAGCAGACTGGTTTGGGGTTTTTTCCTCCCTGAAAATTTTCTGTTACAGCAGATTAATAAGGAGTCTGAGTCTTTGGTCAAGTCTAGAGCTCTGCAATGTGAAAAATCAGTTGTTTTATTGAAGTTTTTCCTGGATGCAGGGTTGGGCCAAATATGTTGTTTTGTGGTATCTAAGGAGCTAGGCTTCCTGGAAGTGTTTGATGTTCAGAAACTGTGAGACATCTTAGTTTTATAGTGCAATTTAAGTGATGCTTTGCTACTTCATACATAATTGAAATTCTATTGGAATACAGTGTTATTGTGTTTTCACAGCATCTTCAAGAAAGTAATTGTTCTTATGCAGTGATATTAAATATTAATCTAGCAGGACAAATGCCATCATACAGTATTTCACCATTAGTGCATCCTCTGATCTTTAAGTGAATTCTCATTGCAGCTTTTTTTCTTTTGTAGCTAACCTTCATGGGTATAAATCGCGTAGAAGTAGAAGAAAATGACAGTGATTCTGAGAGCATTTCAGCTGGCTATTTACCTAGTAATGCCTGGCATAAACTGGGAGAGGAAACAGAAAAGTACTTCAGAAGAGCACCTTCATTTCACTACATGTAAGTTTATTTAAGGAAATAGTATATACTGCAGCACAAGCTAATGGCCTTAATTGCTTCTTATCTTTACTGCTGTGGGCTTGAATAGAATTTAATCTTGGGTCACAGGGTGCCAACAAGAACTTAATGTGTGGTCTCTGTTCTTATGGTACGGTGAACTCCTCGTCTCCAAAATATTTCATATTATTTCTCTCTTTGATTTTGATTTAGATTGGCTACAAAATAATATCACTTGTATCTAGTAGAGATAACAAGGTGTTCTTGATTTGCCTGTTTCAGACCAAAACCGGTCAAAGTGATCCTTTTTCCTTTAAAAGCTGCATCTTCCCCATCTTTCTCTCCCTGTACAAGCTGCAGCCAGAATCACAAAGAGAGGAACTGTTTATTGGGGGGGATTCTTTTGGAGTTTTTTTTTTCCACCTTCTCCAGACAGTTCTGGAAGGTCAGTCTCTATCTTTTACCTGATGATTGTATTACCATGAAGAGACCAGCAGCTCTTACACGTCTGTGTTAATGGGTTGTCTTTTAGAATCTTGCTTTCTGGCTCTGCCTTTGTAAGAAATCACCTGGTTACTGGCAGATGACCTTGTGCAGAATGGTGTCATCTCTCCTGATGTGTAGGCAGCCCTTTTAGCTGCTGTCAAATGAGCCTTCATCGCCTGGCTTATAGACAACGCTCCAATTCAAAACTCTTAAAGTCAGCCTACAATAGCAAGGTCTAGTTCAGTTACATTATCAACAGTAGAGCTGATAGAATATTATTCAGTTGTCTCTGCTTTTATGCCTGTTCCACCCCCTAGTAAGTATCACTGTAATTTTAAGAAAGTTGCTGAATATAATAATTTGATCATACAATATCTGGTATTTAATATTGGATAGCTAATTGGGATATTTTAAACTCCTGTTTGCACTTTCAAGCTGTAATCTCTAAAGGATAGGTCTATTTTTCAATTGGTTTTATTATCTTAAGACACAACTGACTGCAAGAAAGACTCTTTATTTTTTTTGCACGGTAGTTGCATTTTGACATCTTTAGTAATGATGGGCTTCTTTTGATGGAGGATGTTTGACTACTTGCAAAGTGTTAATTTTAAATAATAAAGTCTAGTTCTCAGTTTAGGAAAAGAGCTACTTATTTCTGACTCCATCTGTTCTTATCTGAAGCCTGAGTTTGGGTTTTTTTTCATTATCAGTCCATGAATTCTGAAGCTGAGCAGTTACAACTCAGCCAAGATAGGGAAAAAAATGTGCTGTGGAGTTTTTGGGTACCTG